TAAATTTTTAAAAAAAATTATTATAAAAATATTAAAGTAATTTAATATTTTTTCTTGTGGTATATATAAAATTTATAAGTTAATTTTTATATTTAGAACTTTTTAAATTATTAGTTTAAAAAAATTAAAATATACATATATATAAATATATTTAGTGCAATTTCGATAGTTTGTAATTAAAAAAAATTAAACCTAATTAAATGAGGTTATACGAGTTAGGATATACCTCTTCTTGTTATGAAAATAGACAAATTTAAAAATTATAATTAAGATAAATATACAATTTTATTATTAAATGTGAAGTGAAGTGATATTTAACAATAATTGATATGATGTTTCTGTTATTAATCCAATAATTTAATTTACATTTCTTTTGGTTTTAATTTCATAACCAAAAATATAATATGAATATAATACGCACACGAATTTCTAATCTTTAAGAATAAAAAGGTTTTAGAATATTTTCAACCTTTCATCATTTTCTTTTAATTTTTTTTTATCTAATTTGATTTTAAATTTGAATAAAAAATTTGATTTGATATGAATTACTTTAACTTTTTCATTAAATTTTTATCAATTTTTAAAAGAACTTTCATTTATGTCCCAATTTTCTTTTCTTTTTTTCCATCAATTTTGATGAAAAAAACAATAATTTCCAACGTTTCATCTTTTTAATTTTTTATCAAATTATAATTCAATAAAAAAATATTAAAGGTTGAAAATTCTCTTAATTGGAATTATATTGACACTTATGACCGCATCATTTTAAGTCGGATTATGGAAAGTTTTTTTAGGTGTGAAACATTTTGCATCTGTAAATATCCAACCTATTAAAAAAAAAGAAAAAATAGAAGAAAAAGAAAAAAATGTGTATCTTTTGGATATGTGTTTATCAATTGTGTTTTGTGGACATAAACAACTGATGTTTCAATTTAAAAAATTAAAAGTATATAAAAAAATAGATTGAGTTATTTGGGGATAAAAGAAGCCAACTAACTCCTCTATATACTATCTTAAGATGGACTATTTTAATCACATAAAAAAATAAAAATTATATTTGGAGGTTATTCCTATATATTATGCTATTATATACAAATATAACGGTAACAAATTAATTAATATATATGAAAAATTATACTAAGCTTTTGAGAGGGTGATTTATGATCCGGTGTTGGGCCGAAGTATAGACCGAGCAAGTTGAGGGCCCAGCAGAGCATTGGGCCGAGATGATCGACTGTTCACCCGGAGATGGGCTACCAGAACTTGGGCCGGGCAGAGTTTGGACTGAGTGTGTGCTGCCCCAGACCGTGCAGAAGCTGCTTGGCCAGGAAGTGACCGGTCAGACCAGGATGCTCGGTCCGAGGATGGTCGAAACCAGACAGACCGAGAGACCGGCGCTCGGAAAGGCGCGGTCAGCCGAGGTAGTTGATTGACCGGCGAGAAGGCCGACCAAAGGAGGAGCCCGGGCTAGGCTTTGCCGAGATGCCGCCTAGCCCGGTCCTTCATTTCTTTATCCGGTTAGGCGCTTAAGGTATGAAGCATGGTATGACCGAGGTAGGGCAGCTCGGCTGCCGAGCTCCGGCTGTGCTGACAGGCAGTTGAGAGCAGGTGATGAATGGCATGGTTTATGCTGACAGATGGGATAGCAGAGCCACGTGTCAGGAGATGACAGGGAGTGGATATGGGGCTCAGAAGGTATATAAGCATGTCTGCGCCCCCCATACGCGAGACACGAACATCTCTGTAAGAAAATCCTTACACTAAAACACTCTCTCCCTTCTCTCTATTCCCTCGAAGGTGTGTGCTAATTTGACCGTCGGAGGGTGTTTCCGGCCACACACCGCCGGGTAGCTCACCGTTATTTGCTCGCAGGTGATCGGATATCGACGGAACTTGGAAGAAAGGAATACGGGCACGCCGGAATATTTGCTCCCCGTACAGCTTTCATTTTCAATTAATTGAATTATGATTAACAAACTAACAAATAGCAGTAATGATATAATAGGGTAGAAAGAGAATAAAAACAAAAAACACAATGACATTTAAAAGTTTTAAATTTACCTAGTTATACAAAAATCTAATGTTATAGTACAATCTTGAATTCTGAATAATTTTTCACATTTTCTATAAAATAAAATGACAATGAAAAAATAAAAAATTTGATATCCAGTTTTTTACTTTAATTTTACGATTTTCATTGAAAAAAACAAAATCCGATCAAAATCATTAGCATAGAATGGGCATAGATACTTCGATTGCAACCATCATCACCAATAATTCTTTTCCATCATGTAAACCTGTAAACAAATACATAAATCTCACTAAAACCAAAACCAAACCAACAATAGAGAAAGCGAATCACACAGGGAAAAAAAATAAAATTCAAAAACAAATAAATTTATAGAGTGGTAGGATATTATCCCCCTAATAACTTAAACCTCAACTCGCCTAATCTGTCAACTCCTCCACCAGTGTCAGTGAAATCTAGGAGTTGGAAGGACTAATCAGATTATTCTTTAAATAAGATTTAAAAATTGATTAATTTGTCCCATTAAGTGATTATAATATTATTAAATCATAATTCAAATTTAGACATTGTCATATCTTTTTGAGATCTATATTGAAATTCTTATCTTATTTATTTTTGTGTGGTTTCTATTTCTTTATTTTTTTTCAATTTATTTAAGATGGAGTTGTGGATTTCTATTTTTTTTAAATTTACTTTATCTACGATTTCTATTTGTTTTTAATTATTATTATTTAGGTAAGTCATGATGTGAGTTAGATATGTGATAGACATGTGATAAACATGTGAGTTTTATTGATTTAAAATATGATGGTGTGAGATAGACTTTAAAGATTTTAAAATTTAAAATTGCATATTGAGAGGCAAAAAAAAAAAAAAAGATTTTAACTTAATAAATAAAAATAATATTTATTAATTTTATCTGTTTGTATATTTGATTTTTAATTTTAATTTTTTTGGTTATGTTATAATATAATATATAAGATATAGATAGATAATTTCAATTCTCATAAAAAAATATTATCTGATTTTTGAGGGAGAGAAAATGAAAGAAAGTTTTAATATTTTATTTTGGAAATCGATGAGAGAAATTACAATGGAGAGATTATGAAAGAGCTATGCTAGGACCCCAAATATTCTACCAAACCTCTCACATGAGTGTGAGACCTACACACTTGTGGATTTGTGTGAGTCTCACTCCTCCATGTGAGAAGTTTAATAAAATATTTGGTAGAATATTTAGAATACATAGCATTTCTCATTATGAAATATTTTTGTTATCTTTCTATTTGAAATCCATAAATTAAAGAATAATTATTATTTTCAAAATAATTAAATAGATATGAGAGAAGTTGAAAAAGAGAGATAATTATTATTTCCAAAATAGTTAAATATGTATGAGAGAAATTAAAAATGGTGTGTATGAAAAAAGTCAAAAAAATTTGGAAGAAGTTAATAAGTGTTAAGTTTTTTATTTTGTTAAATCAAAAAATTAAGAAATTAAAATTGAGATATTGAAACTCCCACAAAATTTGTGAGTTAGAAATTCCTTTGTCCTTATATAATATATATTTATATATATGCAGGTTATAACTAAAAACAAAAGTGATATAATTTTAATTTTGAGTCATAATTAAAAAAAAATTTAATAACTAAATAAATATGATATATAATTAAAATAATTATAAAACTAGAGTCATGATAAACCCTTTAAAATTTTCCTTTTATATTAGACGGACTAGATAAAGAGGGATTAGAATCCATCAGATTTGAGTCTTGAGATTGTGAATCCCCCGAACTATTTGGTTGGATTTGATATGTATCCTGTGTTTATTTTTTCATGGGACTAGATGTCTGGAAAGGACTATTTTTAGTGAATCCAACGTTTGCTTAAACGGACTAGATAAGATAAATGACCAAAAGACTATTTTACCTTTTTCAATAGTTTATTAAATAATAGTAATATTAAACATTTCTTTAATATTTTAATTATTTTTATGTAGATTAAATAAAAATTTATTTTATTTTATTTTTTACACAATTAAATAAATTTATTTAATTTTAATTGTGTAAAAAATTAAATAAATAAAATAAATAAAATATCAATAAAAATATATGTTATTTTTAATTAAAATTTTAAATAAATTTGTTTTTAAAAATAATAATAATTAAACGATGAAATTAAATAAAATATCTATCAAAATTTAAATAATGAAATTAAATAAAACATAAATAAAATTTTAAAATAAAACATAAACAAAATATCTATAAAAAATTAAATAAATAAAACATTAATAAAAAGTTAAATAAAATTATTTTATTTTTAAATTGAGACATTTAAATTTTATTAAATTTTATTAAATATAATACATAATTAAATAGTAGAAGGTAAAAATAATTAGGACAAATTACATATACCCCCTCGAGGTATGGCTAAATTACAGATACCCCTTGAGGTTTCGAAAATTACATCCCGCCCCCTGAGGTTTGTATTTTCATAACAATTTGCCCCATGAGGTTTATATTTCATAACAAATTACCCCCTAATTTCTTATGCAAATATAGCATTCAGGGGGAATTCGTAATTTCTCAAACCTCAGGGAGTATCTGTAATTTAGCCAAACCTCGAGGGGTGTATATGTAATTTGCCCAAATAATTATTTTACCACATAATTCCAACAGTGAATTGTCCTCCCAAAATTGTCCGCCACTCCCTCCCCCAGACACAATAGTCCCCCATATGGGGTATAAAAATAAAGAATCCGGCCAGACTTCATATCCGAAACGACGAATTAAATACTTTCTCCAAAATACAATCTGCATAATAAATAATACTCCCCTTATTTGCACAATAAATAATCCTCTCCTCATCTCCCATCAAACACGCTAGTAAACAGGGGTGTGTATTCTAGAATGAAGCATTTCTAATAAAAAACTGAAAAAGGTAAATAGGAATTTATACAGTGAGGCATTGTTGGTAGATAAAAGATGATTGATTGATTAATTCTCATATACAAAGCAGAAGGAAGAATTTTGTTCAACTTTCACAGAGATCAACCAATCACAGTCCTCCAATTGATTGATCCCTCTTCATCCCACATTTCTGATCTTAATCTCACCGCTAAAAAAACACACACAGCCCTAACTCCAAAAAAAAAAAAAAAAAATACATTTTCGCATCCCAAAAAAAAAAAAATCAATCAAGGACTTCAAAACATAAAGAACGTGATCATGATGGTGATGGATCACCCAACCAAATCGAAAGGCCTTCACCTCTGCAACCCCATCATACGCGTAAAGTCCTCGAAGCATACGAACCCATCTCCATTCTTGTTAACCCCGCTTATCATGCGCCTGCAATCCTCTACAGTACAACTATCATCACCAATGGCCGCGAAAACCGACTGAAGCTCCTCAGCCGTGATTCGACCATCATGATCGGCGTCGAAGAAATCAAACGCATCGCGAAGCTCCGAGTCGCACTGAGCAGGCCCAAAAGCTGAGCCGATCGCGCTAAACTCTTCCAAAGTAATACACCCATCACCATCCCTATCAATTTCGCTCAGCATCATCGTCAGCTCCTCTTCGCTAGCCGGTTCGGTCCCGACTCGGCTGAGCAAAGCCCCGAGTTGTTTCCTGGTTATCTTTCCATCGCCGTCCTTATCGATCATTTTGAAAGCTTGAACCACATCGGAGTACACATCGGACGATATGTCCGATAAATCGGCGGAGATCTCCGATATTTCGGCCGATCTAGAGCGCAAAACGCTGGTAGGAGTCGATTTTCGGAGATGGGGCTTGTGGATCGACGAGGAATCGGTTGAGTCGGAAGAGGATGAACCGGAGCTGTAGGAAGATGGGTCGGCCCGGGTGACGGACCGGGTTTTCTTGAGCCGGAAGAGTTGTTTGGGAGTGAATTTGTTCATGATTTTCATCGCTGACATGGGAAAAGGAAGAGAGAGAAAGAAGAGGAGAGAGAGAAAGAGAGGAGAGAAGGAAATTCAGGGAAATAGGGAGGGAGATGAAGTGGTTAAATGGAGGGAGAGAAAGTGTGGCCATGGCAGCTTCGAGGAAGCTTCCTCCCTGGAGATAATTTTTGTACTAGACGGGACTTGTGTGTATGTATATATATACCCCTTGTTTTGGTACTGTAGAGAGAAAAAAGGAAATAAATTATGAGAATAAAAAAAACAAATGGCAAATGAATTAAAAAATACAAGATCGAGACTCGTCAACTTATCCCAAAATTTACCAACTAGTCATATAACAAGGGAAGGTTTTTAAGGAACGAAATAATGTTTCAATTAATTGGATTATTAATTTGTTATTACTACATAATAAAGAAAGATAGGTACTGTACGGGAAAGAAATAAACTTTTTCGTATAATCCTGTTGACCAAGTCTGTGCTCCGCCGTACGACGTCATCTTGTCACTTGAAAACACAAACGTGAGCTAGCCGGCGGGTGTGTGCCGGAAACCTCTCCGATGCCTAAGTCAGCAAACTTGACAAATAGACAAAGCTCTGTGTATTCAGAAAGCAAAGTTGTGTGTTACCTCTCCCAAGGTGATGTTTGTGAGCTTTTATAGGTTTCGTGTGGCACAACCATAGTAGGACTTCTACTCCTCCATGCAAAGTCCTCCTAGGATTCATACTCCTGAAAGATAATGCTTATCCTTCAACACCCCCTCACTGCTTAAACCAAGTGAGATGGTTTTTACCATGGCCGAACTACAACATGACCGAAATAAAACTGGCTATGCTGAGCCATAGAGTAAGCCGAACTATCCTTAGTTCGGTTCTTCCTTTTACTCCTCCTTATCTCGGTGCTCCCATGCATAAACTATGGTGTGTTTAGACCGAGCTACCGAGCAATAAGGTTCTGACCATTCTAACCACAATACGTTATGACCGAACTAACTCTGAGACAGTCCTAACTCCAAGTTGCATCCGGACCGAAGTAACTTTACATTTCTTCTAGGCCGGAGTAATCTTTTACCTCTCTTGGGCCGGAGTAATCTTACAGCCTTTTTACCCAGCCCTTCGTACTTTGGGCCATAATGTCCATCTCATAGCTCGGCCCAATTTTCACCAAAATTACCCTCTCAATTGCCCCTTAATTCCATATGCACAGCATGATTGGGATTACCTGTCTATCAGCCGAGCTGAAGTTTTTAAGCCTTTCTAGCCGAGCTAAAAAACCTTTTAGCCTCTCCAGCCGAGCTTATTTCACTCCGGGCTCTACTTGTCCGGTCAAAACGTCTTTTCAATCACAGCGACTGTAACGCTTCCCATTCTAATGGCACGTGGCACGCTCTGATTGACTGAGGACGGCTGTCACGCCGTCTTCGTACTTCGTAAAATTTGAACAGTCCCACCCTTTTTACCTTTACCTAAAATGAGCTTCTTCATCTTTGCCATATTTTGTAACTTCTCCTTATCTGAGCTTCCACTGCCTCTCCACTTTTCTGAGCTCGTGTTCTTCCCAGCTGCTAATCTCCCTCCAACTCTTGCTTCTTTATCAGGTTAGCATTGTACATCTCACTTTGTTTTTGTATTCTATTTTCTGTGTTTTTGCAAAACATTTTTTCATTTTGCTTTGCTGTGTATTCTTATGGAAAAACTTTAACCATAGAACATATGAGTATATGAAATACCCTATAGAAAACTGATTTTTGATCCAAAATCATGATGCAACCGAACTAGGATACTGTTTAAGCTAGGTAAAAGTCTAGTCAGCGTACAACTGGACTAACACTTCATGTTAACACCAGTAGCTTTGAATAAGTCAAAACTTTTTGATAGTCCTTAGCCGAGGTAACCAACCGAACTAAGTTTGTATTTAGCATACTGAGATACCTAAACTCCAACCGATCTTAGGCCTTCGGGGCTAAACCAGCTTTCTTAGTTTTTTAGACCGAACTTAGAAAGCTGCCCCTAGACGATGAACCGGTCTAACAAAATCGTTTCCATAACCGATATGTCGAGATGCTTGCCAAGGTTGAGCTAACAAAAACCCTGCTCAAACCGAGCTACCAATCACCTTGCAGAAACCGAGATAGAACATGTAGTATCCACAAAGCCAAAGTAGGACTTTTTTACCTTGTTTTTAATTTGTAGCACAATCCAATGATCTGTGCTTAACACCTTTTTTCTTCACTTTGCAGACTTAGGTCGCCCAGGCACTCCTCTGCGTGCTTAACCGAGCTACTGAGCACAATTTTTGCACCGATCTAATTTATACATAATTTATACAATAAATGGGGAAGTATAGATATTTAGTAAATACTCCAGGCGGCCTAGCCGAATTCAGAAAAGACTACAATATACCCGATGACGTCCATTTGATTTTAGTCGAAAAAGATGTCATTCCTTGGGGTAATGAAGGATTTGTCCCCTTTACCCTTTTGTCCATAATTGAGACCGGACTACGATTTCCCGTCCAACCTTTAATTTGTGAGTTTCTTAGGCAAACCAGACTATGCCCAACCCAACTATCCACCAACTCCTATCGTATTATAATGGGTATAGCCGAACTGAACCGCCAGGCCGGTCTCAACCTCGGTCTGGCCGAAATCTTTCACCAATACTCCATTGGTTCAAAAGAAGATGGGTGGGTCTACTATTTAAGAATACGTCGTCGCCGAGAGAAGATAATAAAACATACACCGGATAAAGATTTAAATGATGATGATTTTTTCTAGGTGTCTGGGAATTTTGAGGATCACCAAGCCCAGATTCCAGGCCGACGTATAAACTCGAAAAAAAAGAGAGCCCGGTATATTTACTTCGGTTTTCTTGCTTGCTTTACTATATTTCGGTTTTTCAATCTTTCAGCCGAACTAACAGTTGTCTTCTTTCGCAGATTCTGCCCACCTCCATTCATTATACAACTACCCAAATCTAGCGACTTTGCGCGCCGCACTACGGTATCCAGAACGTAGTTGGGCCAAACTGCTAAAGTTCGAGCCGACCTACAGATACAGTGGTCGCCGAAAAGCCAGAGTGACTGATTTTCTTCTTGAAGACGCACCAGAACCGGACCCAACCTTGCCACAAATCAGACTAATCCCACTAACTGCCGAAGAAGAAATGGCTAAAAGAAACAGAGTAAGGGCGCTTCTAACCGAAACTAACAGACCCGAGATACCACAAACCGGTCAGACGATTGAGACCGTGGTAGCCCTTCCATCGCAGCAGCTATCCTCATCTCGGGCGAACAAACGTGCCCAGACTAGCCAAACCGAGCAGCGACCTATTGACGAGGATGAGACCATTCTTCCACCAAGTCCTCAACCCATCCTTCAACCGGAGCAGTCCGACCGAGCTGACTCCTCCAAATGGGCTCCAATTCTCACCTTTCAAAACCGAAATATCGAGGAAAGTGACTCGGTTGTTGCTGAGAAGGATCACTTAATGGCTTTCAACTTAGCCAAGAGTGTTTACTGTCACGACCCAAACCCGGCCCTATGGGTTTGGCACCGTAACCGGCCAGTAATCCGAGATTACCGAAGGCCTGCTTAACAGTAATACAGTAAAACAGAGTACAGGGGCTGGCGGAAGCCAATACAGTAAATAAATAGTGTCCATTGAGCTGTGACAGTCTGTATGCCAAAAGATTTTTCATGCATTCATACATATACAAACAGTGCGGTCTATACAAATTTTACAGTCACACAGTACAGGGACCTAATCCCTTGATAACAGTACAGTAACACTCGGTCTATACAGAACAGTAAAACAGTATAAAAGGGGGAATTGTAAAAGACCCCTAAGCCTTAACAGGTAGGCTCGGAACCTCGCAGTGAGGCACATAGGCTGGCTTGACAAAACTGGAGTAACCCTGACGCCTCTAGCTGCGGTCTAATAAGTAAAAAATTAAAATAAATATTCAAAAAATTTAAATCGTACTCAAAACAACCAACATTTTTCTTTTGAGTATTTGAATTATGAAAAAAACAAGTTGATTGGTTGTTAAATATTTATAATACCAAAATTATCTCTTAAAATACAAAGGAAAAAAAAATAAAAAAATCTCACTCATGTCCTCTTCTCACATGCTTTGTTTTCTCACTCATACAAGCATGATAATGTCATTTCTTTTCTTTTCTCATCCCATGATCCAAATGGAGTGTTAAAGTTCTCAATTTCCTAAAGTTTCTCCCTAACCAAACAAGGCATTAAAATTTGCGACAAACAAAAACAACACTTTGGCTCGTTTTCTCAGCAACCAAACAGAATATACTTCAATAATAATGGTAAAATAATGATGAAACAAACTAGGCACAAAAAGGAAGGGCAGTAACGACCTTTTCTTTTTGGTGCGAATCCAATGGAGTGTTGGGAATTCCAGAGACCTCTTCTGAAGAAGACACCTTGCGAATCTTCGCTCTCTGCATCGTTTGGGAACTCGAGCGGAAGTGCGAAATCTGGAAAACCCAGATTGCACCTCCAAGCCAAAAACCAAGTTTTAACAACTCAAAACTCAACCTCTTGGGTTGAATTTCCAGAAAACATTTGTAAACACATAGAATAACATGGTTCAAAGCTCAATTTGAGAAATCAAAGCCCAAGGGTGTTTTATTCAAACCAATTTCAAACCATTTTCCCAAGAACAATCCTCAAACATGACATGCATGATCTTAAATCATTTTCAAAGCTTTAATGCTGTTTCAAAAGAGCTCAAACCTTCAAAAACAAGATGAACTCATGGAGTATGACCAAAAGATGGACATGCATGTGAGGAAACATGGATTACAACCTCAAAACTTCAATATATGTACATGCATGCAACAATTAAGCCACAATTCAACATCTAAACCATGTTTTGGCTCTACACTCCATCAATATGACATGAACCATGCAAGAATCAACTTAAAACATGAACAAGAAGACAATGGAGCTACCTTTAGTCTTGTAGTTCAAGAAAGGAGCTCAAATATGCAATCTACCCTTCAACAATTCTTCAATTTCCAAGCAATTCACAAGGTAGAACTCAATTTCTCTCCCTCTCCCTCTCTTGGTCGGTTAAGCACAAGAAATGAGCTGAAGCAATGTTTTGATTAAAGTGTATACAAGGCTCAACATGTGTGAAGTA